AAAGAATTCATCCCAAAATTCCGTATCCAACCGACGTTATAGGTCAGCGGATTCAAAGAAGCAATAATCTGAAGATAATGCGGAGCGCGAGCTTGTTCATAGAAGAGAGGAGCCGAGAGAACGACGGGAAGTGCCACTAACGTTGTGAGCATATCGCGCGTGGCATAATTATCTACTTTTGCCCCAATGGCAATGCCAAAACACGCCCAGCCCACTAACACCAGATGAGAAATACCGAGCTGCGCTAAGACCGCGCCGAAGTCGCTCACGGGGCAAGGTAAGCCAGGTATTGCTATCGCGACGGCCGTCAATACCCCAAGCTGCGCTGCAAAGACGAGGCAGGATACGATAAGTAACGATCTTATATATGTTCCAATGCGACCACCTTGCATAGTAAATATCGCAAAAACGCCCCATTTTCTGTCATTTGCAACGTCTACCATTGCCCCGGTAAAAGACCGAAAAGTCAACAAACACATGATTCCTGTGAAGGCGAGCTCTACATACCTTTGCTGCCGTCCGCCCAAAATCATCCCGGAAATGCCGGCAATGAGGAAAACGTAGTACGCGAGCGGATCAATGATGCGTCCAAGATAGACACTTCGCCAGTTCCACAGCGAAAGGAGATGATACCAAACCAATATGATCGTCTGTTTCATGTTTCACTCCTTTTCGTGTTTCATGTTTCACGTCCCTTGTCACAATGTACCGATTCTGCGATCGCCAGGTAAGCATTCCACAGATCCTCAGAATCGCTTCCTTTTCTAACGAATTCTGATGCTGGCATATCTGCAATGACACGTCCGCTTTTGAGCGCAACAACGCGGCTGCAGTAGCGCGCGAAACGTGAGGTTTCGTGCGTACTAACCAAAGCGGTTCCGCCGTCTTTCGCCTTATGAACTAAATATTCGAACACCGATTGAGTGCCATCAGGATCAAGTCCTGTCGTTGGCTCGTCCAAAATAACACATGATGTATTTCCCGCCAGTGCCCGCGCTATCTGTGTGCGGCGGAGTTCACCTCCCGACAGCGTCTCTGCCGTTCTATCGAGAAAACGAGTAAGGCCCAAAAGCTCAGCGAGGGCACTGATGTCTTGGCGCCGGTGAAATCTTTTTTCACGCAAATCAAAACCGAGCAAAATGTTTTGTTGAACGGTTAAGGACCAATCTATGATCTCTCGCTGCGGACACCATCCGATCTCTTGCTCAGAAACGTTTCGAATGACGTGGCCGGAACTCGGCGCCATAAGTCCTGCGAGAATGTCGAATAAGGTCGATTTTCCAGCACCGTTTGGCCCGATGATCGCAACGAGTTCTCCTCGAGAAAACGTGAGAGAAGTCTCAGAGAGCGCATCGAAAGAAGCCGAACCATACCTCTTCCTTATACGGTGCGCCTTGATCAAAAATTCAGCCATGAGCGATCATTCCTGTAAGCGAGCACAGCAAGTTTTGCGAAGTTGAATATATTTTTGTGACCCTCGGTATGGTCGCACGTCGGCGATACAGTAAATCAAAAATCAAAAACTCACCTCAGATCCTTGTAGTTCAGCAAAGTCACTGATAAGCATTATAGCCTCGTTTTGGAAAGATTTGAAACGCCAAAAGAAGCAAGTACGTTCATAAGGTGAACAAGCGACACGTTGCCGGTTTTGACTGACGTTATTCCTTGTAGGGCTGAGCTTTC